GAAGATTCTGATGGAGGTTTTTGCTTTCATAGAAACTGATCAGCTTCCAGACCTGAATAAAGGTTGTACTTAAATTTGAACAGCATATAAATATACAGTGCATTCATAAAGTATTCAGACCCCTTTCACAATTTCAATTTTGTTATCTTGCAGGCATGATACTACAGTTGTTACAATTCGTTTTTTTTTCCTCATTAATCTACACTCCGTACCCCATATTGACAAAGTGAAAACAGAATTTTAGAAATGTCTGTGAATTTATTAAAAAGGAAAAAAAAAAAAAAACTGAAATATCACATGTACTTAAGTATTCAGACCCTTTATTCAGTACGTTGTTTGAAGCACCTGTGGCAGCAATTACAGCCTTAAGTCTTTTTGGTATGACGTGACGAGCTTTGCACACCTGGATTGAGGGATTTTCTGCCATTTTTCTTTGCAAATTCTCTCAACCTCAGTCAAGCTGGATGGGGGCCATCTGTGAACAGCAATTTTCAGAGATGTTCAAGTCAGGGCTTTGGCTCGGTCACTGTAGGACAGGGGTTTCAAACTGGCGACCCTTCAGCTGTTGCAAAACTACAAGTCCCATCATGCCTCTGTTTTTTGGAGTCATGCTTGTAACTGTCAATCTTGCAATGCCTCATGGGACTTGTAGTTTGGCAACAGCTGGAGGGCTGCCAGTTTGACACCCGTGCTGTAGGACATTCACAGACTTTTCCCTAAGCCACGCCTTTGTTGCTTTGGCTATGTACTAGGATTGTTGTCATGTTGGAAGGAGATCCTTCGACCCACTCTGAGGTCCTGTACACTGTAGAACAGGATTTCATTGAGTATATCTCTGTACATTGCTCCATTCAGCATTCCTTTAACCCTGACCAGTTTCCCAATCCCTGCTGCTGTACAACGCCCACACAGCATGATGCTGCCACCACTGCCATATACTGTTGGGATGACATTGGGCAGGTGATGAGCAGTGCCTGGTTTCCTCCAGACATAACATTGAGAATTGAGGCCACACAGTTCAATCTTGGTTTCATCAGACCAGAGACTCTTGTTCCTCAGTTTGAGTCCTTCTGGTGCTTTTTTTCAAATGCTTAAGTGGGCTTTCATGTTCTTTGCACTGAGGAGAGGCTTCCGTTTAGCCACTCTGCATAAAGCCCAGATCGGTGGAGGGCTGCAGTGATGGTTGTCCTTCTGGAACTTCGTCCCATCACACAGGATCTATGGAGCTCAGTCAGAGTGGCCATTGGTTTCTCAGTCACCTCTCTTACTAAGGTCATTATCCCCCGATTGTTCAGTTTGGCCAGGCAACCAGAAGAGTCCTGGCTGTTGCAAACTTCTTCTGTTTGATAATTAGAGAGGCCAATGTGCTTTTGGGAACGTTTTGTAGCCTTTCCCAGATCTGTGCCTTGCAATAATCCTGTGTCTGAGCTCTGCAGGCAGTTCCTTTTGACATCCATGGCTTTTTATTTTTCTGATACAGTATGCATTGTCAGCTGTGAGGCCTTTTATAGAGAGGTGTGTGCCTTTCCAAATCATGTCCAATCAATTGAATTTACCACAGGTGGACTCCAATCAAGGAGTAGAACTATCTCGGTAATGATCAAGAGAATCTGGAGGCACCTGAGATATATTTCAAGTGTTGTTGAAAAGCCTGAATACTTATGCCAATGTGATATTTCAGTTTTTCCTTTTTCATACATTTACAAACATTTCTAAATTCTGTATTCACTTTGTCATTATGGGGTACTGAGAGTAGATTAATGAGAAAAAAATTAATTTAAACAACTGTAGTATCAGGCTGCAACATAACAAAATTGAAAAATGTAGGAGTGTGACTTACATGGGCAGGGTAGTTGTACAGATGTTGACCTACTGATCAACTTCTGTACAACTAGCCGGCTGGATTTTCCCTGCTAGAGCTCTGTAGTCACCCTGCTTTCAGAATACAATAGTTCTTCGGGGGGGATTCCTCCATCCACACTGAAAAAAAACAAACCCCAAAAACTCTCAAACTACTAGTTGAAAGAAAGAAAAAAAAAATGAATCCTCTATGGGCTGCTTTAGTTTAGAATAGTGTTAGGACACCAACAAGAAATAAATTCAAGCACGAGAACATGCAGATCATGCATCTGGTGATTGGTGAGAGTTTAACTCCAGACTTTAGCGCTGCAAGAGAGGAATGTGAAGCACTTTGCTGTTCTCATGAGATTCACTTTTCTCTATTTGCAGAAGGAATACTTCAAGCAGTATGAAGTGGGTCTACAGAATTTGTGTAACTCATATCAGAATCGAGCTGATCTCCGTGCTAAAACCAGTGAAGACCTCCAGCGTAACACAGAAAATAGGTTAAAAGAATCTGAGGAGAAACTACAGAGATTAAGAACAAACATTGTGTCACTGCTGCAGAAAGTTCAAGAGGTGAGATGCATCCTTTCCATAAATAGCCACTATTGTTAGATCTGCCTAGCTTTCTACAATGCTGGTTTAAAAAGAGAAGCATTATCTAAAAGATCTATTTCTGCAGGGGTCCATTCCTGGACTTTTGTTTTTAAATGCAATCAGGTTTCAAAATAGAAACTGAAAAAGTGGAGGGGATGGCTTGAAGGTTTTTGTTTTGTGTAATTCAGAACAAGCTAGTAATTGAACTTGAAGCATAATGAGAAAAGGACCTAACCCCCTTCAAATCTAAAAATGTACACACTTGTTTATGGGCAATATGCTAGCACTGTGTTTTTAAAACCTACATATAATAGTTTTTATCTTAGTTGCTGTAAAAATGATCTGGGCTTACACAACCTTTAACCTTTGTTCCCATTTTTCTAGGATATTGATATAAATACAGACGATGAGCTGGATGCTTACATAGAAGACCTAATAGCAAGAGGAGACTGACCTAAAAATGGCCAAGATAAATTTATTGAGGGACAGAAGAATAAGCTGCTTCCCCCCCCCCCCCCCCTCCAGTTATATGGGAGTGCCAAAGGGGTCCAGCCCAAATTCTTGGGCAGACGTGTATTATGACGTCACCGTTTTCCTATGTTTTCATGGTTTTTTTACATACCAAGCATGTGCTTTTCTTAAAGTTTTAAACATTGTAGTTCATTTCTTTGTTTATAAATATTTATTTTTTACTGAAAAACAAAGCACTATGAGTGGTTTATAAAACCTTCTTACAAAAAATGACTCCGCCTGTTGATTTAAAGTAGATCAACATTTACAAGTCTTTATAGATAAATTTGACAGCTAATTGTTTACAATACTGTACCTTTTTCAATAAGAATTAGTTCTTGAGTGCTAGTCAGGTGACTGCATAGGCAAGGTAAGGTCTCTCACTATCTGTCTAAGAGGAGCATTTTTAGATACTGGTTTTATCTGATTCTACTGCAGCTGTCCTTCACATACTTTTCTGGTAGATGCAAGGTTACAAGAGTGTGCCAATCTGTTTGAGACTGAATGTGTTTTTACGCTGGTTAGTCATGAGGTCTGAGTCAGGGTGATAGATTTTTATTGTGGCTGGTCAGTGAGTAAGGAAGCAGCAGGTGGCTAGCCTGTGTGAGAAAACCTATATTAACACATCCAGCTACATAAATAATACTGTATAGGAAACAGAATTTACATGATTGTGCCTTTTAGTCCCAGAAGTAGATGCTGGCCCTAGATAATGCCCCAAAGAAAAGACTGGTTTTCTGGGGCAGATAAAAAGATAAACACCTTTTCAGGAGAAGCAGTGAGTAAACTTGTTTAATGTTGTATGCACACTTTGACACTCTTGCTGCCATGGGTGACAAATCCACTGGTGGAGTTATCAGTGGTCAAATGCTGGCCTCAATGCAGTATTAAACCCAAAATCAAACATTTATTATATTGCGGCTTACCAATTCTTAGATGTGATGGCTGCATTGGTATTGTTTTTAGACTTTCTTTTATTTTCAATAGGTGATCTGACCAGGAAGTCTGTTTTTCAACAGCACAAGTTCTACTGCAAATGTCAGTTAAAGTGTTACTAAACCCAAAACCGTAAAATCAGTCTGTATATGCAGTAACACATGCTTGTTATACTCACTGTGGAACCTAAGGGGTTAATCATCTGTATTGTGTAAAAAGGCCATTTTGATCCTCTTTTCTCTGCCCCTCCTCTTGGTCAAATGTCCAAATCTTATCCCCTGATAAGACAGACCATGTGGCAATGGTTCAGTCAGTTTGGTGTGTATTGCTAGAGAGGTTTTTTTTTTTCCTTCTTTCTTGGGAGAGTGCTGATTGGCCCCGTGCTGATCACATGCTCTGTCCAGACAGAGGTCAGGGGTTTCACATCCTCCTAGAGCAGAAAGAAAACTGCTACAAGCTTTAACCAGTGCTCTGCTGAAGTTACCAGATTGCTCTAACTGCTGATGAGAAAAGATATTTAGCAGTTTATATTTACTAAAATAATTGCATTTCCATGTGGTGTGTACTGTGGAAGACCAGATATAGTGAATGCAGGGTCCTGGGTTTAGTAACACTGTCAGTGGTAAATGGGTTCTCACAACACTCTTAAAAGTGCTTACAATGATCAACTTTTATTCATTTATGTAAAACCATTAACCCCCCCCCCCCCCCCCAAAAAAAAACAAAACAAAAAAAAAAAACCTTGCTATGTAACTGCAGTCTGAGCTGGAGTGTGGCTTCAATTTGCTAGTGTATCTAAGTCTGCCTGTATGATTAACACTCCTCTCCCCCCAGACTAACAATGCTGTTGTCCAAAGGTGCTCCTTCATCCAGAGTGGGGGCACTATACTAAAGGAAGCGTGTTTCTGGCCAGATCACCAGGTGAAACAGAGAAACAGCCTTGACAAAGAAAACTAATGCAGCCACCATATCTAATGATTGGTAGGCTGCTATATATTAAAGTTTTGATTTTGGGTTTAATAATGCTTTAAATTCCAGTGCTGTGGACTAAGTGCTTCCAGTTTCACACACAGCTGAAATGTCTGTGGACATGACACTTTATTGAGGATGACAAGCAAGGCTATTGTGATAAACCATGTGACTACAGTCTACTGATTTGTGTTTTTTTGCAAAGGTTTTTAGTGGGTTTTTCAAAGTTATATAACAGAGCGTACAAAAAAAGGTAAGTGCACTAAAAAAAAACACAAAAAATCATAGAAAATGAGGGTACATCATTTGGTACTGAAACATTATAACTAGTGCATGCGATCGCAGAATTATACAAGATGCTTCATTAACCAAGGACTGGTCCAGAGAATAAACAGATTCAATAACATTGCCACATAATGCAAATCAGTAAGGAATGTATTGGCAGTGAAATAGTCTGCCTCAAAGGAAGAAAGAAAGCGGGAAAATAAAGGGGAGGGTCTCCAACTCTCAGCACAGGGGGCTCAGAAAGCAAAAGAGAGAGAGGAGAGGCATAAGAGGGCCACCAACCAGTGTGAGCAGCCTAAGGAATGAAAAGGGAGAGAAACCTGGGGAGAAAAGGAGGGAACATGTCCTGTGCAGTTCAACCTACTGTGTTGTCCCATGGCAGGCTGTGCAAACAGTTATATTGATAACAGGGAGCAGTCCAGACCTACGAGGTCATTAAAGTTTATCTAGTGCTCCCAAACCTTCAGGAACATGGAGTGGCTGTCCAAGAGAATAGACTTGAGCTTCTCGTACACCCTAGTTCTCACAAAGCGCTGTTTAAACTAAAAAAAATGGCTATGGTCTGCCGTGCTGCCAAAAAGACAAACCCCACCAGCTTCTTCTGAGCTTTAATCAAGGAGGGAATGGATGTATGCAGCAAGGCTTCCTAGGGGTCATGTGGTAATATGACAGACAGAAATGATCTAATTAGAGAGTAGACCTGAGTCCAAAATCTTAAAGCTTTCAGGCAGGACCAGCAGGTATGGAGGAGAGTGGCAGGTTCACTACAACCCTGAAAACAGAAAGAGGAGGCAGAAGGAACAAACTTGGATACGCGTAGTGGAGTCATGTACCAGCGAGAGAGTAACTTATAAGCAGTGTCCTGAGTGGAAAAAATGTTTCAGGAGTATTTAGAAGAGTTCAGTCAAATCTGGTTCCAAGTGGCCTGGTCCAAAGTTTTACCCAAATTAGTTTCCCACTTAGAAACATAAGAGCTTACAAGACCCTAAGGCGTCCTTAAGTGAACCATATAGATCTGAGACCAAACTCTTTGAGGAGGGTGTCTTTTTTGGCACCTGTTCTCAAAAGGAGTCAAGCGCTAAGGGTAATCCAACTGAAATTTAAGCAGAGCGTACACGTGGTTCTGTAACTGAGTGTATTGAAACTTTTCAGTGATGGGAATTTGCTAGTGCTTCCTTAAAAATTCAAAGGATATCCAGTGACAGAAGCTCATAAATATATTTGGGGTATCAAGAACACCCTACAAGGGTAAGTGTGGAGAGACCAGTCTAGCTGAAAATGGCACAGAGTCCCACAAACTTGGTGAATGTAGTAGGGTCAGGTCCAAAAGAGTGGGCCTATATTGTGGTGGAGTCTAGAGGAGATCATGAATGGGGAACAATCTATGATTTCCAGGTGGACCTAGAAAGGCACCTCGACAGAAGCCTGGGACTGCTAGGCCTCCTGTTACACTCCTGCGATACAGGACAGATGCATGTAGCCTCGGCCTGCTATGCACCCATATAAAACTGAGTAACTTGCACTATTCGATGTGTAATATATGATTTGGTGTAGGGATTGGGAGAACCAGAAAATAGAAGAGGTTCAGTCAAATACATCATACAGAGAGCGTGGATTCTCCTGAATCGGGACATCTGAAAGGATGTCCAGAAAGCAAGAAGGCCAGAGAGATCCCTAATATCCTGTTCAAGGGAAGCAACAGACAAGGTCAAGCGAACGCCAAGATATGGCAGAGAAGCAGGCCAAGAGAAATGTATAATCTGCTTGGACAACCATCAGCTGATGCGGAGGAGTGAGAGATTTAGGACTTTAGACTTTGATTTGTTGACTTGCAGCTAAAAAATAGCACCAAATTTGAAGAGACTGACAAATAGCTGTGGTAAGGAAGCTAAACTGCATTAGGACATCGTCTGTGAACATCACGTTATGGTGCTCCCCCCCCCCCATCTTGAGACCATGGACATCAGGATGTGTGTGAATAGCTGCTACCAGGGGCTCAGGAGCAAGGATAAAGAATATGGGGGATAGGACATCTCTACCTTGTGCCCCTGTAAATAGGGAAGAGTTCTGAAGCAAAGTCTGCATGCCTGAGTACTGCAGAGGGCTGGACATACAAGGCAGGAATCCAGGAAAGAAATGTGTAGTTGAAGCCCCACCTCCGGAGAGCAAAAAAAAAATAGTCCCTTGAGCTGGTCTCAAAGACTTTGTGGACATAAAGAGACAAGCATAGCAGGAAGGGAACGATTCTGAACAGCACCACCCTACGAATATTGTCCTGGCACTCTGAAGGGGAACAAACCCTACCTCATGCTTTTAGACCAATCAGCCTAGGAAAGAGTTTAATTGAAGTTTTGGTGAGGACCTTAAAGTGGTTCTAAAGGTTCAGGGTTTTTTATTTTATTTAATAATGATAAACCTGTTATACTTATCTGCTCTGTGAAAAGATTTTGCACAAATCAGCCATGATTATTCTTGGGTTCTCTGCTGGTGCTCTTAGCTCCTCCCCCTTGACCAGTGCTCCCAATAGCAAGGTGCTTGCTCCTGAGCCCTACTCTGCATCCATAAAATACAGAGCTGTACCCCTCCCCTTGGCTCACTGGCTGTGATTGATAGAAGTGGGAACCATTGGTTCCAATTGCTGTGTGTCAGCCAATGATGAGAGAGAAAATGTAGAAAAAAAAAAGTCAGATTTTTACAATCACTTTAATATTGTGATGTTTATTTTTAAAGTACAAATGTGATGGGATTCTCTG